GTAGATAAAATAGTTTCCATTTTAAAGATTTTAAAGGCAAAAAAAAAATTGTTTGTTCGTTGTAAAAAAAAATTGAGAAAAAAAAAAATAAAAAAAATATATATATATATAAAATAATAAGAAAAAAAAAAAATTATTTTTAATATAAAAAAAAAAATATAAAAATAAAAAATTATTATATTATAAATTATATTAAAAAAATATATAAATTATAAATAAAATAAAAACCAAACCCCCCCCCCCCCCCCCCCCTTTATTTTAATTTATCATTTGATTTCGAATTCAGGCGATGACACAATAAAACAGATATATATTTAAAATTTATAAATAGAATTTTTATTAAAGGCCCCCAAAATGATTGCTCTTATCGTTACACGAATTACGTTCTTATCCCCATATAATGAATCAAATTTACTAAATTTACTTGATAAATGGAAATACTGCTTTAATTAAATTCCAAAACGCCTTGCTCAAATTGTAATATTTATTTAAAATCAAGCTTTATACTTTTTTGTATGAACGATGACTACAACATTGAACTCAAGCACACATTTAAATTTTGTATCGCCAAATTATGAAGGTGTGCATTCTTACTTTAAAAAGGTCGAAGCCCAGAATTGGCAAATAAAACACTATCTAAGCTATCGCTTGAAAGAAGACGAGATAATCTTACCTTGGACAGCCGTTTATGATGACTGGCAGAAATCACTCAACGTTCTTGTGAAAAATCGCACTAAACAAATTCCAGGTAGTGTGCATGGCTTCTGTAGTAATCTACTAGAAATTGATGACATTTTGAAAGACAGTAAGGATTTGTATGAAGAATTCCATGAACAGTACCTTAACCTACAGATTTCAGAAAGAATCCAACTAGTAGATAAAAGCCTATTCTCTTCCCTAATGGTATCTAAGCATTTTCGAAAAGTAACAAGCGGAAAAAAACGATCGCATGGTGGCAAAGATAAAATAAGGTAAAGTGAAAAACGTGGTTTTAAACTAAATCCATGTTGTTTATATGTTATCAATACTATTTATTTTCTGACTTACCTTTATTTTATTGTTTATGATACAGCATGAAAATACGCAATACTCATGGAGTACTTACAAAGGATGCTTTGGATCCCTCCAATAACTCCCACTTGGCACCATCTTTAGATGAAAATGATGTGTCAAATTGATGGTGCGTCAGACGATGAAAATGTTGAAATTTTAGAGGTTTGTTGATTTGTTACCCACAATCCGCATAGAATTTATTATTGACAAGTTCTTCACAGGTTACCAGTGATATATTAGCAAAAAAACTTGTTAAAGTCGGTAAAGGAATTGCGAGATATAATGTCATATACCTTCCCGAATGTAATAAAAATGATCTTATACGTGCTACGTTCGAAGAAGAATGGCAAACCTTCGAAAATTTTTTTAATAAGGTCAGATATTGATACTATATATGATTTGTACAAAGTAATGGTAAAATCTTACACGCTTTATGATTAGGCAGAAGAAGAGATTACTTCGAAGATTTCATCTCCAATAAAGAAAGTTGAAAATATTCTTAATAAATACCGGGAAGCTTTGGATAAAGCAACAGATGGAGCATACGTTGAACTTGATTCTGTAATGATTAATTATAGTTATCAAGATGGATACAAATTTCGAAGAGACTGGTTGGAATACTGGGTGAATAATGTTTATTGTAAATTGTAAGTGCCTTTTTTTACTATTTATTCTTTTTTTTCCTGTTTACAGTTTTATCATTATTAATCTTTGGCATTGGTAGTTTAATATGTTTCCAGCTTTCAAGACATGTTCTAAATGATAAATCAAGTAGCGAATATCAATATCGAGACTGGTTTGTGAATTTATTATTGGAGGATCTTTTTCTGGACATTAATTCTCTTATCCGTTTATCAACGTAAGTTAATTTTCTTCATATCTTAGTAGTATAAAAACATTATATTTCAACTATTTCAAAATAGTGGTGAAGTTGAAAATATGCATCGAAAAAGTCAAAAGAATTTATCGAAACTTCCTGAAGATAGGCGACAAATAGGTTGGTATCATGACGGAATCCTTACAGTTAACATTAATGGCGTCGAAGAATATATTGGTATTCTTGAGGTTGTAGGAAATGCTATTGTTGAAGATCACGTCAAGATGATTGCGGATAGGGATAAAATTTTAAAGGCGATGCGACTAGCAATATTTCAACTAGAACAAACATTGCGCAACAATGGAATTATTGATGAAAAGCAACTCCAAAATAATCTTGAGACGTTTGGGATCCTAGTCGATAGTAAGTAATATTTTGTTAAAAGTTTGTGGTTACTGAATTATCCTTTCTAAACTTTTTTTTTTTTAGGGCGAGATTTCATCATCTATGCGATGCATTATTATGATGGAGTATATTTAGTTGATGAAACCGATTTATCATTCATAATTCCCAACACACCAATGCAATTATATCTGATAGAAGACATTATAAAAAAATTATTGTCATTTAGGGTTAGTAAATTATTTAATAATTTGCATTATTATTTTAACAGGAAAATTCCTTAATTATCTCTCATGATCAGGCCCGTGTAGAATATCTGAATACAAGGATAAAAACACTATTAAGAGATAAGACATCTGCATCTCGAAGTCTTTTACGACGGACAACAACTGCTGTTGATGTATCTCCAGGCATCTCAAATTCCAAACAACATTCAGCACGCATCAACGCGCATAAAAGTTCTGCAAAGAAATAGAAATATTATATTCTACGCGAAATTGATAATACTATAAAATCTAGTCAAGTCTTATGATGCGTAACGTTAAACAAATTCTTTATAACGTATATTTTTAAATAATGTATTTTTTATGAATTTTTTATTGCTTAAATATTGCAAAATAAACAATGGTGAATTATGTTTCATACATAATTTGTCAAAATTATCTTTTTTTTACACAATGTTTTCTAACTTTATTAAAGTAATATCACACATCAGCTATAGTTAGATATGATAAACTAAAAAGAATTTTAGTTGCTCTTTTAAGAGATTCCAAGATACTAAGTGTTTTCTTTAATAATTAATAATTATTAGTTTATAATAAGTTTTATTATTTTTAAAAAAAATATTAATATTAATTAATTTTTTTAAAAAGTAATATTATTAGCAACAAAACAAGTATTTAGTTTTAGTTATTTGCAAGAATAACATCTTGAAGTTGTAGAAGCATATCTTAATAATAAAGACAATTAAAACAGGAGAGAGAAAAACACTTTGTTATGTAATTTGTGCAGTAATTTTTGAAGATATAACAATAGTTATTAGTTCACTGAAAGCTTTAATAAAAGATCAAAAGGCAAGCCATTATTTAATTATTTGATTTTTAAGAAAGCTGCTTACAATTTATTATATATTAGCGAGAAATTAGTGTATCTTGTATACCTTGTGCTTTAATTTATGCAAATATAGCACAAAGCAGAAATGAATAAAGCAAAATATTTGAAAAAATCACACTTGGATTTACAAAAATTATATTTATTACTCCTGAAAAACTTTGTTAAAATAGAGAATTTAAACATTTTATTAGTAAAATGTATAATATGGTAAAAATGCATTTTGTGATTAATGAAACTCATTGCATTTTAGATTATAGTAATTTTAGGTAAGTCATTTATAAAAAAATATAAAACATGCTATCATTATTTAAAATATTGCATATATTAATGCATTTATTTTTATAGGAAATCATGGAAAAAAAATTGGAACTATCAAAAAAATTGGCCTTTGATTCTTATTATACTTTTAACTGCTACATATACATACCTAGATGTTCAAGACATTCGTACATCTCTTAAAATATCATCAAAAAATTTTACTATAATCTGAGATTCCTCCTTTGAGTATAAAGAAATAACTATAGAAATTTATAAAAGAAAGGATAATTGTGAACTATTTTCAAATAATCTTATTAATTTGATTAAAATGAATGAAGAAAAAAAACCATTATTTTCTATACAACACAATCAGGATATGATGATCTTTTTGTAATACTGCAATCAACTTTTACAGAATAAAAATTTAGGCATATATCTTGATAGATTAGGAGACGAACAATGTGAAAGTATTATATCACATTAGAAAGACGGTAAAATTTAAGTAATGATTAAAACTAATGCATTCAAAATAGGTATTAATTCCTCTAATGTTTATTTAGTAATATATTGTATAGCTCCTTTGAATATAAATAAGTAATAATTTCATAATTATTTTCAGTTTATTATATATTTTTATTAACATTTTTTATATCTAGTAAGTTTAGTATAACAAATTGGACGAGCAGAATATGATGGCAATGAAGCCAAAAGTATTATATTTTATTCAATAAAAAAGATTTAAAAACAAATTTTGGAATCTAAGCTAAAAATCAGAAATATGTGTATTATATAATAATAAAAAACAAGTTTATATTATAAAAAAAAATATTTGATTTGATTTTTAATAAACAAAAGAAAATAAGCTTGTACAAAAATTATATTATTCTAAAATTATGAATTTAACTATTTGTTACAACTATTAGATTCTTTAATATTCAAAATATAATTGATCAAGAATGTAAACGAAAATATTATCTTAATACTAGAGCATACAAAATTCGTAAAGTTCTTCTATTTTATCAAATTAAATATGAATGTCAAATTCAACTAATTAGTCAGCATCATTTTTGGGATGGTGATAGCATCTCTTCTTCTTATTTAAAGTATGATGATTGTAAAAATTGAATAAAAGAATAGCCTACTTATGAAAATTGCATAGAGAATATTTTTCACTTATTGGAAATTATTAAGAAAATAAGTAATAGTAATTACAAAATTATTGAAAATAATGTGTTAGAAGTTTTTTGTAAATCAAATACTAAAAAGATTTGAGAATCAGGTTTAGCTGAGTTAGAATTATATAGAAATGGTTGAAAACTGAAATTTGAAAAACCAAAAGAACTTTCTGATTATATACTTACGAATTTAATAGTATGTGGTTATATAGAATAAAAAGCTTTACTTCATTATTTTCACCAAATACCCAAATCTTATTAGCAAGCGTATTTATAGAAGGACTTGTAGCTAAAGTAAATGTAAGAGTTATAGAAGATTTATAGTATTAATGAATATATAAAAAAATAAATAAATATGCATTTTATTTATAAAATTTAATAAATAAAAAAAGTATGAAAAATATTTTAGATATAAAATAAAAAGGTTATATGCTAACTTACAGGATAAGTCAAACCAATAAATTGGCAACAAATAAAATCCAAAATTTCATATTTACAAAATTATAGTTTCATATTCACAACTTCATACGAAGTTTTTTTCAAGATTTTTTTTAAAGAGCACAGTTTCTTAAAGTAAAAAATCAAAGTTCAAAACTGTGACTTTCTATCAGTATAAATTTTAACCTTTTATGTTAATTATTATAGAAGTTTATATTTTACAGAAAATGGTGTTACTATATAATGTAAATTTTACTATGCTAATTACTATTAAATAATCACGTGATATAATGCACCCTTAAAAACATAAGATTTCATTGTAATGTTTTATAATTCTTATAATATTATAACCTTATAAAAGATTTCAACCATAATATTATGTAAAAAAATATAATCTATAATCCTACATAAGATTTTATTGTAATGTTTTATAAATTTTATAAAATCATAAACTTATATAGTTTTACAATATAATACTCTAAAATATTACAAAATTATAAATCTACAGAATATTATATTACATTTAAATTTCAGATGTATAAATAATAATTGAAAAGAAATTAGAATTATTAAAATATGTTTAAAAATTGTTATTTGTTAAATTTTTTGATTACTAGGTAGGTGTACTTGTTAGATACTATTGTTATTACTTATTTAGTATATACTTATTAATTGAAAGAAGAAGGAGTTTGAATAATAGAATACAAAGTAGCTAAAATTTTGTATTTCAGATCTAATGTCATTAATAGAGGTTTTAACTAAATTATTTTTTTTTAAGTCATTCATTTGAGTATTTAAAATATTAATAGTTCAAAGTGAGATGATGATTTATCATTATTGTTAAGATAATTTAAAAGTTTGATAATATAATTTTAATTTCTTCTTTACTTTATAAAGAGAAAATTCATAGGTAGGATTTTTAATATATTTTAAGTTATATTAATATAATACATAAACTCTAATTAATTTAAAAAGAAACTGCATTTTTTTAGGAAAGTAATTTTATTATCAATCAGAATCAGTTTATTTTTAATAATATACAATTTTTCTTGAATAACTTTAAGAGTATTCATGATGATTGAAGGAAGAGAAACTTTTTTATTAAATTTAGAGGAATATAGAATTTTAGAATCTGTGAATACTTGAGAAAATAATTAAAAAGTATTATTAGTTTGAAAATATTGTAATGGATAATATTATTTAGGCTTAAAATGATCATATTGTAAATGTTAAGGATTCGCTGGATTTTAGTTTATATAATCCTTAAATTTATGATTAGAGTATTATAACTTATACAGTGTTTCTTTAATAATTTTATCTAGTAAAGAACTTTACCTTAAATTTTTGTGATTATATAGCTATATTATCTAGATCCTTAACTTTTCAAAATTAATAAATACATATGGGTAGTATTCTATTAAAATTGAGGTACAGATCATATGATTTACTATGTCTCATAACCCACTTTTAATAGATCAGCTCCCATATGATCTTAGTCTATATTATCGATCATAAAAAATAAAGCAAAATTTGGCTTTAATATGAATAAGAAAATCAATAAATTATTATTGATTTATATTGAAAGATAAACCTATTAGTTTCAATTTGAATTGCTATTTTAAAGCAGTTTACATAGAATCTAAATCAGTTGATTCGATATTAAGAAGAAATACTAAAAAGGATATAAATTATATATGATTATAAAAGGATTTAATAGAAATGGAATTTTTAAACACAATGAAGGTGATCTACCAGAATTCTCTGATAATTGTTAAAAAGTAAAAGATTTTATCATATTTGGTAAAGTAATGTCTTACTATATCAGATTTGATAAACAAGAGAATATCTGAGACTTTGATAGTTTTACCTTTTTGGCATTTTGTCTTTATTATTTCAATACAAGATCTATTATAGTTCTTATCATTATTGTTAGAAAAATTGGAAGCATATATAAAGTCATTAGTTGTTTGTTTTAAGAGGAAGAAAAAACATACTTTTGTTTAAGGTGAGAGTAGTTTGATTAATAGTCTTAGGATTTTTGAATTCAAAAGTTGAGTCGATAATACAATGGTAGACAAAAGTTTACACATATTTTTTAATATCTTTAATATCAATTTTCTCAATATTTAGTAATTTAAACTAAACAAAACTTTTATACGTCATAAATAAATAATATATCAAAATTTGAGCTAATTTTAATCACTGATTGATGAGAAATTTAAAATAATAATAATATAAATTTTATAAATGTTTGCAAAAAATATATTAAAGTTTTTGCACACGATAGTAACCGTTGAATATCTTAAAATCCAATAATTCAAATTAGATCAAAATTTAATATATAATTAATATAATCCAATTTTATAAAATATAAAAACATTAGCTAATTTGAATCACAGGTTGTTAAGAAAACAAATATATGATTTAATTTATAAAAAATTATTAACAAGAATTTATATATTATTATTTATATTGATATTATTACACGAAA